GTAAAGAGAAAGGGACTGAAATTAGGCCTCCGGCTCCACACTCATCAGACGAAACACGGAATTGCTTCCATTTCACGCCTGTCTTCTGTGTGGTCGTGGTATTACACCGGGCGTTCCGGTCCATTCGTGCTAAGACGTTAAAGCGGGCACTACCACTGTTAAGGTGGTAGTGCCCACGATTGGTCACCAAATGATCTCTCAGGCTTACGGTTTAATGAAATTATTAGAATGAGCTTTTACAAAGTAAAATTTAAAAAAAAATATGAAGATTAAAAGCACTGTAAATCAAAAAATCTTTTGCAAATCTTCTAGTTTACAGGCATAAGTATATAGTTTACAAGGCTTACACACAAAAACCATTAGTCTAAGATTAAAGCATTGTGCAAAATGATAATAACATAGTAGCCGCGGCAATGGCGAACTTTAGAATGAATGTGTATCAACTGTGTACAGATTTCATCATTTTTAACGCGAGGCGAAACAAGATTTGAGCAACGATATCATATTCATGTAATAGTCTGTCTGTACACCTTTCCCGCCAATGAACGCCTGCACTTTTGCTTGCAACACAAAGTAAACGCGCAAAGCTAGTTACTCGAATTTGATTGCATTTTATAAAACAAATGAAACGATACTTTAGTGCTTTCTGTATTCGAATACCAGACTTTTAAGATCGAGTAAAAGAGGAGCTCATCCATTGATGAGCTTCTGAAGATTACATTACATACTCAATATACTGAAAACGAAGGGTTTGTTTTTAGTATGTTTGTAATTTTATTACGAGCAAATTCTTTGACTGTGCATAAATTACGTATTGATAGTAGAAATATATATCAAACACAACCTATGTCACAGATGCCTTAGTCCTTATGGCTTCAATCAAACGTACCTGTTTTGTGTGTGATTGTTCACATACGTTAATTACATATTTTGTATGCGAATCATTCCATACTAAATGGTCTTCCAAGAACATAAGGGCGATTACGGTTCATCGACGTTCACAAAAGGCTTGCCGATTTCGCAATATATAATAGAATTCAAGAATCAACCTTATCTAACGGTATTACAGTTTTATTGCACAGTTAAACAATACTTCTTAAAATAAAATATCGGAGTCGAATATTATCAATAATCAATTACTTTAACGATTTAAATTGCCACAAGTATTCTCAATAACAAACATTTATTCATTAGTGATGCGTCACCGCCCGTGACCCGCCAATCGCCGATGTATAATCTGTGTTTAGAGATATTTTGAAACAGGTATCTTGATGCTATAAGTATTCAGGGCGCACACCTGTCTCATTGTCGATAGGCACACCCTAGTGCTACTCGGCGAAATAGCTATTGAAGCTTAGTAAGGACATAGATAACAAAGACTACGCGTTGTACTTTTTAGTTAACTGTATACATATATTTTAAAGTGTACTCCTCAAGACCTGGGGATCCCGGTCTACACCGTGACGATGAAAAAAAAACAAAATACTGTAATAAAAGAATACTGATGATTTGGGTGGTCCACACGTCTCTTGCCTGACAGCTTATTTTGCTAGCATTTTGTAGTCAATTCTTTCAAATATATTTATTTAAAATCGCTATTTGTAGTAAACCTTTTATGTTGAGAATATAGAAAAAATAAATGATAGTCCGAGAAATCCTAATAACTATATCGGATGTTTCTATCTTTGATGTCAGTTAGCGCGTTTCGTAATACACACATTACGTGCAAGTCTTGACTAATTGTAGGTAATTGCTACTGTGTATGGACCTTAGTGTGTACTTTCCGGCCTAACCTATAGAATTATACTAAAAGAAGTGTGAAATACTCATGGAAATACTTACTACTTATTAATTGCATGGAAATACTTCACTTAAAATTTGCATACATATTTGTTCAACTGCTTTCTGGGTATAAATTAGTGATAAGTTGTTCAGTTTTAGCCATAATGATTGGATTATGAACTGAATAAAAATAATTTGTACGTCGCCATTTCATTGAAATTCTAAAAATTCTACTCCAAATCACAACCGTAAAAATAGTAAAGTTGTAACTAGCAAATATATTCATTGTCTTGAACTAAATTTATGCTAATTTAAAACATCGTTACACAATGCGTCTTTGAATATTTTTATGCGTTTTGCATATTTTATACCGAATTAATTACAATTTACGTTTATTTTAATCGAAATCATTTTAACAATTCTTTTAAAAATAAATGTTTCATAGACAATTATGACACTATTTCGTTTGAAGCCATTTAAACAGAGGATTTTTCAGTAGAATTTCCTAAAGGAAACATAAAAGTAAACTTTATGTTAGCTTTAGACATTCTGAATATATAATAAGATCTTATATAATTCTAACAGGAATTATATTGAAAGTGCATAATATTCGAATGCATGGAACTGTACCTACAGATAATATCCTACTGATCAATTCCCGCATCTTCCGGCAACTTACGATACTTTCACTCGCGCCTCTAAACAAAGCGACGGATAATTACATCTGTAACTGATTTACAAATTTTATTAAATCACAATAAATCAAACAAAACACAACTCTAGGAAATATTAATTTATCCGTCATTTCCAACTTCCGAAAGATCATCGCTCTTATTATCTTTGAAAGACTGAGTTAGCAATGTTTGAATGATTTAGTAAATGAAGAAAGTATTTTACTATTACAATTGATCTGAAAAAAGTTATTCTCCTGTCGATTTTAGTTTTCATCGGTTCATGATTTCAAATGTTAAGTTAATTGACCGTTGTATATTGTTCAATAAAATTGATTAAAGAAGCAACCACTTTACCGTTGTGGTGTAATCACCTCTCACCAAGGTTCGGTGACGAGGCACCGACAATTCACCTGCGGAAATTTATTGACCCAGAATATAGCACTAAATGTGCGGTCTAGCCAGAACGGAAGTATATCGTAATGTAAGCAGAAAATATGTTTTTTAATTGCATAAAAAAATTATTATTCAAATCTTCAAAAAATTAAGTATAATAAAAATCTCAAACTTCAAATTTTAATTATGACAGCTGTACGGAACCTTGTTATTTAAGTAGCTTATCGGTTTTCGGTCTCATTCAGGAAATTTAGAACTATAATACGAAATTGTCATCGTTTTTAGAATCAGGCCACAAAAATAATAAATACGCTTTTGCTTTCATTGCGGATGTTAATGCGCGTCGGATCACTTAACCTCTATTAACCCTAAAGCCGTCGCCCCT